TCAAGTTTACACACATAGGAGGGAGTTTTCTTGCTTTCAAACCCAGGATGTTGCTTCATGTACACTTCCTCTTCCAGAACACCGTGAAGAAACGCGTTCTGAACGTCTAACTGTCTGAGACTCCAGCCCCTAGAAACAGCAATAGAAAAAACTAGACGAATGGTTGCAGCTTTAACAACTGGACTAAAAGTATCCTCATAGTCAATACCTTATCGTTGTTTAAACCCCTTTGCAACTAGCCTAGCTTTGTAACGGTCAATAGTTCCATCAGATTTGCTCTTGATCCTGAAAACCCACTTGCAATCAATTAAATTTTTACCTTGCTGTGGAGGAACTAAGTGCCATGTGTTATTCTTCCTTAGAGCCATGTATTCTTCATTCATTGCTTTCTGCCATTTTTCATCACCAAGTGCTTCTTCTAGAGTAAGAGGTTCACCTGGTTCACCTGTAGAACAAACCATGCCATATTTTGTTACTCGTTTGTAGTCAACAGGCTGTATTACTCCCTTTTGTAATCTTGTACGATGCGGAGAACCAGCCAAATTTTCGGACGCAGAGGATCCCGCAGCATGAGCAGGAGTTGCTGCAGGAACCAATCCCAAGGAAGATCCATGCGCTGCAGCGGCAGGTTCTGCCTCACTCGGTTTTTCTGTGGCAGACTCCAGCTGCCGTGTACGTGCAGACTCCGCAGAAGATCCCGCCAGAGGAGTGGACTCATCATGGCCACATGATGGCGAATCGACCTCGGGTCGGACGCTGGTCGGGTGCGTGGGCGCGCGCGCATCGACACTGGATCCCACGCCAGCTTCAGGCCCCACGTTGGTCAGGCGAGTCGGGGGCCGCCGCTTGTAACACACAGGCTGGCTGGAGAAGCGTGCGCCGCCCGCACCAACTGAGCGATGACGTGTGGCAGATGGCGATTGGCACGTAGGCGGTGTCGTGCTGCGGCCCGCAGGTGGCAACGAGGCGCGCGTCTGGACCGAGGCGGGTGCGCATGCAGGCTGCACCCCTGGCGCATCTGCCGCCACCGATCCCGAGGAGGATCTGCTGCCCTGCAGGGGAACAAATCCCGAGGAGGATTTGTCCCCAGATTCCGGGCACATGAAATATGGCTCCGGCTGAGGGGGTTTTTCACCATTTTCTTTGTTTTCTTCACTGTTTTCACCTGTAACATCACAAGACTCATGTGTGTCATCAGTAAGAGGGTTAGTCAACAGTTGATCATTATCACAATCGTTCCCCCCTTGATCAACACCGGAGAGATGAGGAGGCAAAAGAAGAATCTCTTGACGAAGCAAAGCACCGGCATTAGGATGAAGATCAGCAAAAGGAAACTTGGTTTCATCGAAGACAACATCACGTGAGATGTAGACACGTCCAGTTGCAACGTCAAGGCACTTGACACCTTTATGTTGATTGCTATACCCTAGAAAAACACATTGTTTTGAGCGAAACATGAGCTTGCGTTTGTTGTAGGGACGAAGATTGGGCCAACAGGCACACCCGAAGACACGAAGAGATTTGTAGTCGGGTTTAATGTGAAGGAGGCGTTCTAGTGGAGTTTCATTGTTAATGACTCGACTAGGGAGCATGTTTATGACAGGAACAGCTGTGAGGAAAGCCTCATCCCAGAACTTGAGAGGCATTGATGCACCGGCTAGGAGGGCTAATCCAACATCAACTATATGTCGGTGCTTACGTTCGGCAGAGCCGTTTTGCTGATGAGCGTGGGGGCATGACACATGATGTGATATGCCAAGGGTTTGGAAAAATGAGTTTAATTTCTCGTATTCCCCTCCCCAATCAGACTGAACTGCAATGATCTTACTATCAAATTTTCGTTCAACGAGAGCTTGAAAATTTTGAAAAACTTGGAAGACATCTGATCTTCTTTTGAGAAGATAGATCCAGGAGAATTTACTTTAGTCATCTATGAAGCTCACATAATAAGTATGTCTAACAACAGAACTGGGGGCAGGACCCCAAACATCAGAAAAGATTAATTGCAAGGGTTTGGTAGAAACACTAGTAGATATAGGATAAGGCAATTGACGACTTTTCGCTCGTTGACAAGAATCACAAATAGTTTCAAGATCACGCTCACCAACATACGGGAGCTTATTTTTCCTAAGCAATTTTTCAACTAAAGAGAAAGCAGCATGTCCTAGTCGATCGTGCCACCGTGTTGACGAAAGTTTGGCAACACCATAGGCTTGTTTATTGGATCTTCTATGCTCCGGGATCAAAGGGTAGAGTCCTCGAACGCATCTACCTCGATAGAGAATTTTCTTCGTTGCCTGATCCTTGATCAAGAAAAAATAAGGATGAAACTCAAGGAAGACATGATTATCAGTGGCAATTCTATGAACAGAGAGAAGATTCTTATCGGCACTAGGAATTAGCAAGATTTTTTTAGATGAATTTTACGACGAGGGGTACTAAAAAGTGAATGACCAACGTGACTGGTCCTCATACCTTCGCCGTTGGCAGTGTAGATTTGGTCTTTGCCACGGTATTTTTCCTTCATGGTGACCTTCTCGAGCTCGTTGGTGATGTGATTTGTCGCTCCGCTGTCGACGTACCAGTTCGTGTCGACGCCGTAGGAGCCGTCCGCAGCCGCCGTAACCTTGTCCTCGTCTTGAGAGGAGTCATCTTCTTCATCATAGCGATACCAACAGTCTTTGGCCGTGTGCCCAAGCTTGCCACAGATCTGGCAGCGTGGTGCATCTGGGCGAGACCTGCTGGAGCCGCCGCCACGATGAGAATTGGAGTTGGTGGAGCGCCCGGTGTGAGAGTTGCTGGAGCCGCCGCCACCGTTGTTGTTGCTTCCTGACCGCCCCTTGTTGCGGGGAGATCCACGCGAGCGAGGGCCACTGCCACTGCCACGAGATGCGGCATTTGCAGAAGACTTGAAGCCGCCGGAGGAGCCGTGGAACTGGGCCATGCGCTGGTCAAAGTTACTCAGCATGTCGTAGAGCTCGTCGATGGTGACGGGCGTGACGCGGGCGTCGAGGGCGTGGAGAATGTACGAGATGAGTTCGTCATCCTGGATAGGCTTGCCCGCGGCAGCAAGTTCATCAGCAAGGCCGCAGAGGGAGGCGAAGTAGGAGGCTACCGACTGGTTGCCCTTCTGCGCGTTGATGAGCGCAGTCCTCATGTTGTTGACGCGGCTGAGTGACTGGGACGAGAACATGCCCGCCAGCGCCACCCAGATTTCGCGCGCCGTGGTGATCGCGGTGACCACGACCAGTACCTCCTTGGAGAGGGTGCTCAGCAAATAGCCAAGCACCTGTTGATCCTTCCGGACCCAGAGTGGGTGGAGAAGGTTGGGCTCAGAAGTCTCCTTACCGTCCTTATCTTTCGTGACGTGGAGTCTGGCCGGCTCCGGCGCAGTGCCGTCGACGTAGCCGAAGACACCGGCGCCCCGCAGGTGAGGTGTGACCTGCATGCGCCATAGCACGTAGTTCGTGCGATTAAGCTTTTCGGTGACCTGGCCATTAAGGCTAGGGGTGGCACCGAAGGATGAAGACATGGCTATGCACTAGATGCAATCGGGAGACTAGGATTGGAAGAGAAGGGCTCTGATTACCATGTGCGATGGCGGAAACGTCTTACCCGATGAGGGCGACGTGTACGTGTTTATATAGCAGGGGCGCATCTCCCTGTACAGCGGATACAAGTTGTTGAAGATTACATCTTGAAGAGAAAGAAAGATCTCTTAGATAGAGATAAACCTTAACAACCTAGTCTATCTAACTAGGACTCCTAACAACCGAAGCAAACAAGATGGTGCGGCAGATACGATGCGTGTTTGACACTGTGCAGATCCATTTTGCAGCACATGCAATACTATTCAAAAGCTTGTCTTTAGAAAGCGACCCCACTCTTCAGGAAACGTCACAAAAACAAGGCTCACAATGCAGACTCGCAGGGACAAGGCAACTTCATGCAGGAAACTACAGTTGATGCTAGCAGCATTCAGGCTCCAAACAAGATCTTCACGGACCCTGCCTGCCATGAAATGGGGAATGAAAACTCAACAGGGAATACACAATATAAGTCTTGGATCACACTTGCAGATGCAGCAAAATGAAGGCAGGATGGAAGCTACAATTTCGGCAATTGCAGTCCAGACTACCTCACCACTTCAAGCAGAAGCACAAGGTGTCAAGTTTGCTGCAGCTATTTTGGACAAACTGAACATACAAGAAGCATCACTCTTCACCGACAACAGTATATTAGCGAAAACAGCAGCGGCAAGGTCTCCCCTGACTCAGCCGGGGCACTGGCAAAATCAGGAACAACATCTCAGATTTTTGTGAGCCCATCAGCCAGAAGCATATCCAGGTTTTCCATATCCCTAGAACTAGTAACAATGAAGCTCATAATGCAGCAAAATTAGCTAGGGAACAGGGTAATGCAAACCCACACGTTCTAGGTTCATATGTACCAATGTTGTTCACTCTGATAGGCATTCCCCCCTGATCCAGGCTTTAACAGATGCTATCACTCATGTAAAATATTTTGAAGAGAAATGAATGGCACCTTGAGCGCCTTTGCTTGTTCGAAATAAAGAGGAAAAGGCGCCTAGTAAGTCTAGATATAGATATCTATGGATAAATATCTACTATGGTACGGTAGAGTCCCAGACACATAAATAGATGGAAGAGTCCCAGACACATGAATAAGATGGATTCCACTCGACAGAGCACAGCAAGCAAGACAAGTTAAGCGCAGATCTCACCTGCTCGATGGCCTCGTCCATGTTTGTCTGTTTGACATCGAGAGTGGGGATGAAACCAGTGGCAGTTAGTATCTCAGAAGGTGATGAATAGCTTAGCTTAGTGCAAAATCAAGGATTTTATATACAAAAGACAGGCACCAGGCTAAACAAACTTCAGATTATTCAAGGACAAGGAGGCCTACAGATAATTACAGGTTCGATTGTACAATGACGCACAGAGCACGCTGCTTGAAAACGTTAACGTCAGCTCCATCACTCAGTCTTCCCCACCTTGTGGACCTTGTGGATCCCTGGAAGCTCGCCTGAACCATGTCTTGAAGGCGGTAACCAAATGCTGGCAGTCATCCACGTTGCGAGTTGAGAACCCGAGGCATTGTTGCAGCAGCTCCTGAGCATCCGGGACAGACAAAGTGGAGATGATCTTAAGAAATGTCTCCTCCAGCTCTTGGCAGTTTGACGATTTGTATCCACTGTGCATAGGTTGGGCGATGTCCCTGCAGACATTCAGGACAGGAAGCCAACTTTTGACAAGCTTCATCCTCACCTGAGAAATAGAGGTGACACATGAGAGCCCAAACCCAGTGGTATACAACAACAATGCTACAAGCATAAACTTGATGTAGTGCAGTCTAAGAGTTTTTATAAGAAATCTGGCAACAGAGAGCTAGAAGATGTCCAGAATATATAAATTGCCAGTTCTGTTTTGTTGTAGATCAAGATAATTGGCAGGGTCACAAGAAGTGCTACATTCCGATACATCAAACTATTCAGAGACTGATCATTTTCTCAAATTTTATGCTGAACTAAAAACTGCAGTGGCTGTGCACACTGGATGCCAAGCAGGTGGTGGAATGAAAGATGGCACAGCAAGCAATTAGTTAGCGTCCAAATGGGTGTGACAAAATACAACTAAGGCCACGCTTGGATGCGGTGTAATCAAATACAGACGTATTTAGTTTACACATGCATCTTACCGGCGACTAGCAGATTTCCAGTTGGAAACAAAACGATGGGCGGAGATCTGTGTCTTTTCTACAGCGGTATTTGAGACGAAATGGTAATCCAAACAAGGCCTAATTGCAGGCTCAGGCAGGACACTTTAAACATAAACAAGTTCATATAGCAGATATAGATGCAAAAAGCTGCATGAGCAGATAATACCAAGGATCGATTTTACAGTGAATTATATCATGAACATTGTGCACAGAGCCAACCAAGAGCCCACTTGTAAGATTCGAACGACTAATGGCACTAGATAGCATGTGGAAAGGGTTAGATTGAAAGTCCCCATAAGTCTTGATGTTTTCAGGAGCAAAATCCACTAGCTTATGAATTTACGATACACAACATGGGGGAGTCTCTACATTCAATTGATACGAATAAAATGGTGCTTGTGACTTTAGGACATCTGCTAGGATGACCTACTAAAAAAAGCCCATACCACCTATTTCTATTCGGATGGCCCTGCTAGCCCTTGACCATAAATACTTGAGATGGATCTGGCAGGCTTAAAGAAAGAAACTCCACTGGGCCTGGCTGAAAATGCACAAGTGTGCATGACTAACAATATTCCATTGTAAAGCTAAACAGGAAAGAGGAACCACTCATCCTAACCATTTGCTCTCAAAAAATACCACTTCACTTACTAAAGAAAATCTTAGACCATCTCCATTCACCAATAGCTCGAACCAGTTCGAAGGGCGTGTTTTCACCATACTGTGCATTATCTTATTGGACCCAACGGATATTTGCAGAAGTAACTTTCTATTCACCTAAAGGCATGAATTACCCAAATCTTGATTCATCCTCATAAAAGCTTTCCATCTGAATAGATTCTGCTACCTATCTATCCTCTACAAGAGCCTCCACCTATTTTTCTAATTAGATACCTTTCATTCAACTCTTAACCAGTTCCAGTTCCCACCACAAACATATTTCTATATCAACCAATCAACTCCTTTATTAGAAGAATTCCACCAGAATTTTGCCTAGAACACATGCAAGCTTCCAGGTCATCATAGGGTCTCCGTTACTATAAGAACTTGGAAATGCATTCTATTAGTGCAAGAAGTGAATGGAACTCTATTACTGCAAGCACCAGCACATTAATACTTCAAAAAGTTCTATCATGTTCTAGGTGAGTCTTCAACATAAGTACAGATGGTCAATCCTACAGAAAATGTGACCTAAAAGTACACCAGAATCAACCAGGAAACCACCATGATTACGGGAATGGGAACCTACAGCCTTATGTCATATCCAGATGCAAGTCATGGCTCAAGTATAAAGAATGGAGTACACTTATTGATATTTTGTGCTAAGATTTAACAAAATGTCAATATCACTAATTCACTAACTTATATCTGTGAAAGCATTCCATCAATAAATTATAGCAAAAGCTGAGGCAGAGTTAGGTATTCAAATATAGCATGAGATCATTTCCACAGGTAAGCTACTGCACATGTACACTCACACAAAGACATAGTACTTAGATACGATAATATCTAACCACGAACACTGTAGCAAATCATCTAGCATGACAATACCAGAGTATCTGATGTCACATATGGATAACTCACTGACTGATTTGCAACAGAATCAAGTGATCATATTGGAAGTTAGGCACTTAGCATCGTAGCATATTTCAAGAAGTACTAACATCTACTCCCTCCGTTTCTAAATATTTGTCTTTCTAGAGATTTCAAATGGTCACCACATACGGATGTATATAGACATATTTTAGAGTGTAGATTCACTCATTTTGCTCCGTATGTAGTCACCATTTGAAACCTCTAAAAAGACAAATATTTAGGAACGGAGGGAGTATGATAGACTTAAGATGGAGATATGTCATCTTGCAGACTAACCTGCCGAGGAACCAGTGTCTCCCCAATCATAACTGAATGAGCGAGCCTGAGGGTGCATCTGGTCACAAGCATCGGGAGCCCAGGAGCCATGTTCCTCCACATGTCAGCATCATTGAGCAACTTCTGCAAGTCAGCAGCAAGCGCAACCTGCTCGCTCCAAAGCTTCACCGCGTTATCAGCCACCCTCATGTCCACCATCCTCTCAATGAGCCAGAGCAGATGCTTCACATTCAGGACCGCCGAGTGCAGGTTCAACTTCTGTATCGCCTCTCGCTCGTCGCTGTCGACGGCAATCCTGAAGTCGGGGCTGGCGTACTTCCCCAGGAGCTCCTTCACGGTGTCGAGCCGGGAGAGGAACGCCTCGTCGAGCACCTTGTGCACGCAGTCGCGGGAGGGGTAGTCCTTGAGGAGCATCGCCACGAACGCCTTGGTGGCGGCGGGGACGGGGTGGCCGTGGATGGCGGAATGGATCAGGCCGTGCAGCATGGCCTCCGAGGGCGACCTGGCGGCCGCCTCGCCCGCGGCGGCGGCGGGGGGGAGGGAGACCCTGGCGAGGAGGTCGGCGGCCTCGTCGCCGGGGAGGAGCGGCGCGAGGTCCAGCACGCGAGCCTCCTCCTCCTCGGACCAGGGCACGGCCTCGAGGAAGCGGATGCAGGCCTCGACGCAGGCGTCGAAGAGGAGCTGCAGCGCGACGGGGAGGATGTCGAGGGCGTCGGCGGGGGAGCGGATGGCGCCCGCGAAGTCGAGCGTGTGGAGGAGGCGGACGACCTCGACGTGGGCGTGGAAGGGGCGGGCGCAGGAGGGCGCGGCGGGGACGGCGAGGGAGAGGCGGCCGGCGGGGGAGGAGGACGGGTCGGGGCACCAGCGGTCGGAGAGGAGCGCCGCGAAGTAGCGGGAGCGGAGGAGGGACGCCGAGGAGACGTGGAGGTCGAGGAAGGCGGCGGGGTCGGGCTTGACATCGGCGTCGTCGGCGGAGGAGGGGTCGAGGTGGAGGCGGAGGAGGAGGTCGGCGCCGGGGAACGAGAGCGGCGGGGAGGAGGCGGAGGCGGCGACGGGGCGCG